GGGGTGTTCCGGAGTTGGCTTCAGCATGTTAATCAGTTTTAAAGCTGCCACCAGTAACAGCTAACATTTCTGAGTTGGGCGGGGGAGGAGGAAGGCAGTCCTGCTGTTTTTGCCTAGGGACCCAGGTTGGACTCTGAGGACAAAAGCCACAGTCTCACAGAGGCTCAACCCTGGAAGGACTTACCAGAGCAGAGCCATTTAAATCACAACCCTGTGACAGGCAGCCGTGTGCAAAGCAATGCAGCTACCCTGCCCCACCCCCACCGGCACCTGCACAGACAGCATGTGCTCTGCTGGTTTTCTAATAATGGGACACAGTTGGCTACAGGCTTTGGAGTAAAAAAAGACTTGACCTTAAATCCCAGCTCCTACACTTAAAGCAGTATGGCCTTAGACAACCTGCTTAAGCTCCCTGTGCCTCAGTTTCCTTACTTATTAACTGGGGATTCCTCTTCTGTCTACCTGCTAGAGTTGTTGTGGGAATGAAGGAAGTCCTCTGTGGAGGCCTACAGTGCAGCCCAAGCTCATTATATAGCATACTCTCCCCCATGCCAAGACTGCTAACAGCCTGTTCCAACCCACATCCTTGCAAGGAGCCATGACAGCACCTGCTGGATGTCTGGCTGAGTTACCGGCATGGTCTGTGGCCATGCATGAAACAAAGCCAACTGACCCATAAAGGGTTCAATCCCATGATCCCGATCTCAATAGCAAGGCTCCAACCAACTGAGCTAATTATGGTGCAGTCAGATTCAACCCTGCTTATATGGAGATACTTTCAGCCATTCCTTTAACATTCATAAACAGTGTTGTCCTAAGATGCTGTGATCCAACCCACTTGCCCAGTTTACTAATGATCTCATCTTTAAAAAATCTTAATGTAATGTAGCAAACAGATGTGTCCCTTAAGAGGATTAAGGTGGAAATTCATTAGTGCAATAATACCAGTGGATTTGTGTTCTAAAACTAACACCAATCAATCAACTCAGTGCACACCCTGTCTTAGCACTACTTAGCTTCTAGGGACAAAACGGAGAACTGAGCAGCCAGGTCTTCACCCTCAGGAAGTTCTCTGTGAACAGAGGAGACTGTGAGGACCCTGTGTACTGACAGCTTGATATATACCCTTTGGAACCTGTGCTACTCAGACTGTAGACTGCACAGGAATCATCAGGACATTGGGACAAGATGCTTGCTGTGATTTGGCAGGTCAGGAAAGCCCTGAGGTTGTACGGTTCTAATAAGAACCCAAGAGATGCCCAGCCCAAGCTGAGGCAGAGAGGTAGCCACCAAGACAAAGGTAGAGAGAAAGGAACAAACACAGGACACTCAAGACTGACCCAATGACAGGATGTGTACTGGAACAGGGATAGGCTTCCTGAAAGTAGAACATTCGAGACACAAAAGTAAAATCATAAAGAACTTAGATCCTCTGTCAGAAGACAACTCTGGAACTCAAACTCATGTAGCCAGGTGACTTCCTTCCAATCTTGGTCTCTTCTGCTGTGACAGACCAGCACCTGGCCCAAGGGGTCAGAGGTTACAGGCTTGGTGAGGTAATGCATGTCTAACATAGTCCCTGACTCAGGCAAGTGTGTAGAACATGGTAGCTATTATAACTGTACTCTCTTCAGGCCACAGCAGGCAATGAAACATTTCTCAAATTAAATTACAAAGTTCTTAAAAAATTATCAAGTCCTAATTGTCACTTTAACATGTATGTTATTCATCACTATTTTTTGTAAAAATATTCTGCAATTCCAGGTTTGTCCATCAAATGGGGCAAAAAAAATCCTTACATCACTAAATGCCTTTAGCATCAATCAATCCACAATACATTCTAAGCTTTAAGATGTCTATGATTTTACTAATTCTACTGCATAGTGTTTTCTAAAGTACAAGCCCTATAATTACAGTTTTTCTTTAAAACCATTAAATCAAAAATAAACACCTAGTAATGCATCATTTAAAGACAAAAGTAAAAAGCCTCACTAAATTCCGGTCAAAACATACAACCACCAAATGAGCATGTCCCATGTTTTGACCATTTTTGCTACCAAACCAATGATATTTATTTAATCATCCTTCCTGAAAGTACCATGAAAAGCTGAGATTATTTTTTAATCTATTAGTTTGAAAAAAAAAAAAACAGAAAGTATAAGTACAATATCTTGTTCTTATCTAACATGATAGTCAGCAAGCATGAGTGAAATTAATATGTCATGAGTTAAAATGTCCAATTTTCAGCCAGAAAGGCCTTAGCAATTATCTGGTTCAAAGTTTCTCAGATCAGGATAGGAGAATCTCTAGGTAACCGTGAAAACCTAGGATCCTCTGAAGGGGCCTTCTTGGGGCTGGTTACACAGGTGTATTCATCTGTATTTGTGAAAACCCACCCAGCTCTACATGAGCCCTGCATGCTTGTCTCTGTGTGTGATCTAGTTCAATCAAAAGTTTCTCCCCCAGGGACTTGAAGGTGCAGGACTGCTGAGAACACTGGCAGTATCTGCACATTCCACACTCATGTTTCTCCCCTCTTTCTACCATCGAGAGCCCATCCATCCAAAGAACCCCTTCTTTGCCAAGGCCAGACTTAGTGGACCTGGAAGAAGTGTACCCTGTACCCAGGAAAGCTTGCTTATGGCAAGGTCCTGGGATGGCAACTAGCTCACTCCTCACCATTAGCTTATTCCCAGCAGGGTCGGTAACCGTAAGGTCTCACCTCTGACAAGCTAGGAATTCTGCAGGCTCTTACTCATGCTTGTACATTCATTCACCTGCCCCCCCAGGCCAAAAGTCCCTGGCACACAAAGTTAATTGCGTGAACTGCCCAAAGTAATGGACTGGAAGCCCCAGGAGGTACAGCTTCTGCCCACAGACATGCAACTGGTCAGAGGTCTTAAATCACACAGACCTGGTTAGAGTCTCAGCTTCTTAGTCCAAGCAGAAAATCTAGGTTACTTAATTGCTCTCTGCCTCAGATTCTTCATCTCTAAAACAGGGATAATATATAGCTTCACGGAGCTACATAGCATAAATGAGATCATTCATTGAGAGCTCCAATGGGCACATGTGACATGCCACCAAGGGCTCTAAACTCCCTAGTTCTTTCTATCATAGTGAATTGCCCAATTTTAAGATTCTCTGCAGGATATTCATTACCATCTTAAAGATATGATTGCCCTTAAGTACATAAATGTCCTGGATTCTGCTTTCAGAACTCTGGCCAATACAATCAGTCATTCACTCTGCTCTTGATTTGAAAAATAAGGCCCAACATATGAATGTACTGCAGGGGTCTTGATACAAATGATACTGAGGCTGTCAGGCACTCAAGACAAGGGTTAAGGGTTTGTGTAGGGCATCTTCTGGTTCTGTTTGTTCCACAAACGACACCTTAGAGAGATCTATCTGCTGTATACTGCTGCGCTGTGGCTCTAGTTGGTGTTTAGCACAAGGGGGCAGTGCGTGGAGCAAAGAGTTCCTCCTACCACACTGGGAACACTGGAGCAAGGCTATGGGATTCTTCCATGGAAACATAAAAAACGTATTTCAGCTCACCACTTGAAAGGTCAACCCATGGAGATAGGGTTTGAAATCGAAGGAAACCACTTCAAGGTCACAGGGTCACAATTATGACCCTTCTGTGTGGTTTCAACAAAAGATCGCTGTAATAAGAGACTAGAATGAATGGAATAATCGTGATGTAGAAGAAACTCTTCAAAAACTTTTAAATGAATCCATAGACTGAGATAGAAGCAAAGATTCTGATCAGCCGAATCCATAATACGTCATTCTGTCCCTCTGCCTCCCAAGCTGGGTTTTTATAGCCAGCAAAAGTTCAACGTACAGTGACTTATAGCCACCTTACACCAATACAGCAAGAATGAGATGGAACTGTTCCATTTCTTATCTCTGAAAATTAGGTTACTAACTAAATGGGGAGGGGGGTCGCTCATATGCTACTACAGAGGAGACCACCGCCAAAGTCCACTGGTCTACATACAACCTCCTTCCTCTGCTTCCAAAGCAGGTGGACATCATAGAGCAATCCGAAGTTTTTCAAAATCAATTTTGTTCTTGGAGTCAAAAGTTATCTTTTCCAAAGATTTGTTAATGTAGATCCTCAACGAATAAAGTATCTCCAAGCTTTGATATGCACCCTAAGCAGAAAGCATTATGGAGTTGGTAATTCTTCAAGGTGCAATCCGTTGAAGTGGGAGGAAGCAAGACGCCTGTCCTCCTTCAAAGGGTTTAAAAAAAAAAAAAAACTGACGGGTGGACTGAGAAGCTATTCTTCCAAGGGGACACTATTTGGGGCTCCGAGGCTGAGGCTTTGTGCACGCCGCCCCCTTCTCCGCTCCCCCGCCCCTCCTCCCTCAGAGACTGCTGCTCCAAGGTTCCCAAGGCCACCTGCTTCTCAGAAGAAAAAGCGGATACTATGAGCGCTATCACCGCGCGGTTGGCGTCCTCCGCGGTGCCCCCCAGGGGAGGAGGGGGAGGTGTCCCCGGCCAGCGCGCTTTGTCGCGCGGCCGCCCGCAGCGCCCCAGAGGCCAGACAGAGGTTTTGTCCCGGGCGTCGCTCAGAGCTCTCCTCAAGGACCTGAGTCCCGCGGCTCCCGGGTTCTTTCTGCACCCCGCTCGGCACCCTCCCCGATATTCGGCAGATCGCCGGCGTCCGACCCCACCCCGCCCACCCAGCCGAGCTAACGGCGCGGGGACCGGGAATCTCCTCCATCCCTCCTCCGGCAGACACGGCACCTGCTCGGCCGCACCCGCCCCCAGCTCTGCGCTGGAGCGTGGGGCTGTCCTCCCTCCCGCTTAAGAGGGTCCCGCGCCAGCTGGCGGGTACCCAGAGTCCCCCTCTGCTTAACGGGGAAGGGGATTTGCCCTTGGGGGCTTGTCCCCGGGGAGCCGCGCCCGGCCAAGCCCGCCTGTGGTGCCCCCACCCTCGCCGCACCGCGGCAGGGGCTGCATCCAGGGGGCCCGGCGGGTTGTACCTTGTGCGGCGCCCGCAGCAACCGATGGACCCCGGCCAGCTGGGTGCCGAGCGCGAGGTCCTCGCGGAACGTGAACAGTGGCGGCCGGCTGGGCTCGGGGAAGTTGGTGCTGTTGAAAGGATCCGTGTCGTCCAAGAACTGCACCCGACAAGCCAGCGTGGCCATGATGCATCCCTGCCGCGGGGGGCGCGGGCCCCGGGGTCAGCGGGCCCGCAGGCCGGGACGCCGGGTCGCTGCGCGCTGGGGAGGCCGCAGCCGCCTTGCTGACTCGCGGGCTCGCAGGCTCCGGCGCGCCCGTCTGCAGCCCGGGCTCCGGCCGCGGGGGGCGGGGCGGGGGCGGGGCCGACGCGCCCCCTCCTTCCCCTCTTGCTCCAGCTCCTCCCCTCCTCAGTTCCCCGTACTCCCCGCTGGGTTGCCCCGATCCACCGTACCCGCAGCCCAGACAACGAAAGGGAGAACCACTTGCACGGTGCCCGCAGCTTTGCGCCAAGGCCGGCGGCCGCGGCGTACCGGGAACGCCCCGCGGGCGGACTCGGCTGTGCGAGCGCCCCGCAGCCCTGATCCCAGCTGCAACCCTTGGAATCCCGGGAACTGGGAAGGGGATTGGGAGACAGGGCTATCCTCGAGCATCTTCCCCACCTGGGAGAGGGCTCAGTCTTTCCAGATGAAGGCAACAATGGCTGGGCTTCTGCTGTCCGGATTCGGAAAAGCCCAGCTGGGAACCAGGAGGCTCCCAGCGTCAGGATGAGCGGGTGGCAGCGAATGGGAGCTCAGGCGAGATTTCCCTGGGGAGCGGTGGAGGGGGATTAAGAAGGAGAAGGATCAGGAGAGCCCAGGCAGCTCTGACTCTTAAGAGACAAGCGTAGAGGACGCGGAGGAGTGAGGATTAGTGGGCTGAGAGAGAAGGCTGTGGGATCCCAACGCCAGGCCTGGCCTTGGCGGGTGCTGGTTGAACCTGTCCCCAGCACCCACGGCTCTCTCCCCAGTTAGATTTCCGAAAGCCCTAACTGAACCTTCTGCGGCCACGGAGACGGGGACGCTTCCCCGTTAGGTCTCGGAATTGCGGAGGAACCAGGCAGAGGCAAGGTCCCCTCGCTACTGAGGGAATTGGAGGGACGCTTGCTCCAGGCTGGAACAGCGAGACTCAGTGCTGCCTCGCTCCGCTCTCCCCGCTGCTCAAGGGCGACTCCCTTCGTTTCCAATGAGAATTTGCGGCCCTCTGCATTCTCAGGCGGCAGTCACATTTCGTATGCTTGGTTCCTCTTATTGATCGCCCTGATAATAGTCGCTCTTAAGGGTTTTTACCGGACGGCTCCATTAGGCGTCTCCCTCCATTTTCTCTGGTTTTAAGGGGAAAGAAACCCTAATCCCACACTTAGCTTCGCTCCCATCTTTAAAGTTTCCCTCTCCTTCCACACATGCACACTTAGGCCTGGTCTTAATAGAACAATAACTTCATGACGTCCTTCTGCTCCCCACGGAGCTTCTAGCTCTCCATGCATTACTCCTTAACTCTTTGCATAAGTCCTACCCCAACCTTACCATTTCCTTGTGACCGGAAAAATAAATTCCCAAAATCCTACTCCCACTTTCATTGTCCTTTTCCTGCCTCCCTGAGTGTTCCCCAACCTCCACACACATCCCCCAATCCTTCTGATCATCCTATGTCTCCTGGTGTCCCAACTTAAATTCCATCCCACCATCTCAGGGGTGTGGCAAGGAAATTCCTTGTGCCTGCCCCATCTGCTAAGTGTCTGCTAATGGTCAGGTGACTATATGATCCATTCTCACACCCAAAGCCCCGTTAGCCCAGCTCAGTATAGGTTCCCCCTCCCCTCATGCTACTGCAAACTTCCACCACCTTCCTCCAGCCATAAATTACCCAGTAAAGAAAAAAAGCTCTCCAACATGCACCAAAAAAGCTTAGCAAGCATGAACTCCAGTTCACTCCTCTCCACCCTCATCTGCCCCATCTCAGGAGATGACCAATGTCCTATTTTTCCTCCGGCTAGATCCTCTACCTCCACCTGGACTCTAGATCCCTCCTCTCCTCCTTGGAACAGGATCTGTCACAGATCCATCCGTCTTCTTTCCTCCTCCCTGGTCTCCTTACCCTGACAATCACCGCTGGCTTCCCCATGGGCTGTGACTACACAGGGGCCTGCACTTAAAAAGGGCCACAAACAGACTTAATGCTCTGCTACTGATGTCTTGAAATCCTTACTAATTTATTTTAGCAAGAGGCCCCTGAATTCTCATTATGTGCTGGTCCCACACATTTTGTAGACAGTCCTAATGAGAACAAATACCTTAAAAGCTGTGTCTTTATGACACAGCTATAGTCTCTAGCTCCCTGACTTGTGTTGTCTTCATTCCTTTGCCAGTTACTGGAAGAGAGAGTGCCATTTTCACTTCTCAGCATCCTCGCCACCTCTTCTGCACACTCTACAGCTCCCAGAAGGCATCCTCTGCCCACCACTCTGAGATCAGCAATGCCAGCCTCATCCAGGAGATACCTGTCTTGGCAGCATCTGTTACCTCTCCCAGACTCTCTTCCCCTCACTCTCAATCACTCTGCTTCAGATTATCCTTCTCCATCTTTGTCAGCTCCTTCTAGAGTCTTCTGAGCTCTGAGTTCCTTTTGGTCCTCTTCACATTTTTCCCTGGAGTGCCCTGGCATCAGTACTCTTTCACCCATGTGCACATGACAGACAGCTCTAGACTTTTGGAAGGGTCCACCTCCCTCACTTCACCTGCCTGTACACTCTGAACCCTTGGATCACAGAGCATCTCAGCTCCAGTTACTGCTGATGTACTCTCTGTGCTCCCAAGAAATGGAAAGCTCTTCTAAGATAGGAGGTAGGCCCCTTTGCTCTATGTCTAGCACAGAGAAGACACACAAAAAATGTCTGATGTATGAGTCGACATGTCCTATGCTAGTCTTCTGATGAGTCTCCTTCTCCCAGTCTTGCACCCCGTGTGTGGTCTTCTACTGACATCCCAGAGCCATGGATCACTCTAAAATGTGCATATGATGTACACCATAGAGCAAAATCCTTACATGCCAAAACCCTTAGCATAACTCAAAAAGCCCTCTAAGGCCTGCCCCAGCCTACCACTCAAGTTCATCTCTAGTCATTCCCCATTTTAAGCCATTTTATACCCTGCTTTTAAGCCATACTTGAATGTATTACCATTTCTCAAACATGCTGAGCCTGCTTCATAGCAAGTCTCAACCTAGAAGTGCTCCCTGTCTAGCTGGCCTCCTGAACTCTATATCCTTCAACACTCGTTTCTAACATCAACTCTTCTAGAGAGCCATCTCCAGTCCTCCCCAAACAAGAATGGTCCCCCTTTCTTCTGTAGTCCAAATAACTTTATACATATCCCTAATACAGCACTTTTCATGTTGTGTTATAGATGCATGCTTATGCATCCCCCCAACCAACCTTCAGGATTAGAATTTGTATTAATCAGTTTTAATCCTAAAACTTCAAACAGTGGCTGACACCTAAGATGAAAACTTGAATTTTTTTTATCATATAGACTATCTTTAATTCTTTTAAGGATTTTTGCCCTGACAACTACCTTGAAATGGCCATCAGTAATAACTTTTTCTCTGATTAACAGCCAATTTTTTTCCCTGAGGCTACTTTTAAATAGTTTCTTTTTTGTAATGTAATGCTTTGTCTTAGTTTTAAAGGTTAAGAGTAATAAAAAGCTATAACATAAAAAAACCTCTATTTTATGGCTCCTACCTTTCACTCACCAGAGGCACTCATTTCTAAATAATGTGAGTTTATCTATTTTGATCTATCATTTTTGGTACAATGATTGAGGGGTCAGTACTGGGGTTTGAACTCAGGGCTTTGCACTTGCTAGGCAGGTGCTCTACCACTTGAGCTACACCTTCAGCCCCTGATCTATCATTTTTATAAAATGTGCTGACTTCCTATTTTATATCTTTATCAATTTTGTATAATACTGACTTTCTACCTGAGGATTTTTGCTTGTTATGGTCTACTTTCCTTTCTCCATCCTCCCAATATAATTTTATCACAATATTATTTAAATCCTCATTCACTGATTTTAAAATGGTGATTATACTAATATTGTTCACATTGGTGGACGTGTTTGCATGCCCTTTCTTGTGCACTTTTTTGTTTTTCCTGAAGTTAACATTTGCTTCAATTTTTCCTTTATTTTTTTCTTCAACAGCTGGCTAAATCCTCCCATATTCTTTAGGAGTTCAGAAAATGCCTCTCTTGATATTGTCAAATAATCTCTCAGTTCTATATTTTTCGCTTCCATAAACTTCTTGGGGAATGCCTCTTGGAGCCTTACATCCTCTTGTTCTGATTTGGAACATGTGGCTCTCTCAGTCTTACCCTGGAGATTTCCTCAGCTTCTCTCTATGCAGAAGCCTCTGGTTGCTAGATTATTTGTCTTATTCTTACTTAGCTTCTCTTGTTTTATTTTTTTAAAACTATACACCCCCATGAGAAAGGGTAAATTTTTAAGAAATTTTTTCATGGAGTATCTTTATTCATTTTCTTTATACTTGTCTTGATGTAGTATTGTAGGCAATGATAGCAATGGTAAAAATTTCTTCCCTGCATTTTGTAACATGACTTTGCTACACATGCCATAAAAAAAATGGAGCCTATTTCCCTATTCCTTGAATAGAGGTAGCTTTTTTTTAACAGACTTGCTCTGACCAAAAGAATATAGTGGGAGTGACACTGTGTGACTTCTGCCTCACAGCATCTCTCACCCTCTTGGAACACTGACATGAAAATACCAAGCCAAGAAATTGGGTCTAGCCTAGGAAAAGTGGTAAGAAAATTGCTACCAATGATTGGAAAAAATGGCTACTGTGCTATGTAACAATAAAACAATTGGCAAGGTAATTGCCTACAGTAATTTGGAAGATACAAAATGTATCTAATGAATTTACAGAGCTGGCTAAGTATATCTCTAAGCAGATGTTGCAAGTTGGGTGCTTCCAGCTACATTGTATAATTAATTCCGTTGCAAGAAGAAATATAGAGTGCCTAAAGTTTGCTGGGTTATAAAATAAAACAATTTCTCACCCTAGACTATCCAGACAGTAACAGAGTCTCAAAGTAAAAAATTAACTTGGTAAGATCTGTTTTAATATGTGGTTGTAAGGCTGTTTGTTAAGATCTCACAGAGACTCAAACCAGGCCTAGTAGAGCCTCTCATTTAGACAAAGGGTCCTCTAAGAATCTTAAGATTAGGAATCCACACAGCCTAACAGAT